CCCGGCCCGCCTACCTCTGTGCCAATGTGCAAACTCAGGCCACTCATCTTACTTCCTGAGCCTCAGTCTCCTCATCTGCAAAATGGGGGTGATGAGGACAGCTCTCCTAGAGGGCTCAGGATGCAGGGGACCCTAATATGGACTCAGCTGTAACAGCACAGGGCAATGAGCTGCTGCAACATGTTGGGGCCCCTCTCAAGCTCGAGGGGCAGTATCAACAGCCCCATTTGGCAGAAGTGGAAGGCGAGGCCTGGAGAGGTGAAGTCACGTGGGTCCAACAGCATGTCAGACCTCCAGGCCAGTGGGTAATGGGCAAGGTCATTCCCACCCCTCAACTCTCCTTCCCCTCCCCAACTCTCCCAGCCCCTGGGGCCACCAGGTCAAGCGGCACCTGGGGCAGGTGTGAGGGAGGAGTGCCTCCTGTGCCCACACGCTACCTTCTCCCCCTCCACGAAGCTTCTAGGGCCCTGAGGGGCTGCCGGTGTCACAAGGTGACACTGCTCAGCCAAGGAAGGCCAAGCACAGGTAGCTCCCGAGTCTGGCCCCTGGGGTGGCTGAGGAAGTGGGAGCCAGGCAAGACTGCAGGGAAACCTGGCAGACTCAAATCCAACCCTCCTGGCCTTTGCCCTCGTGTCCCCTCTGCCTGGAGCCCTCTTCCAACAGAGAGCTCTGTGGCCCCCAACTTCTCGCTTAATGCGGTTTTCTACTCAAATCTCCCCTTATCAGAGTCTCCCCTGAACCCCATATAGAATGGCTGGGGCAGCCCTCTGCCCTGGGACTCCCCACTCCTCCCTAATCGTCCTTTCTTCTCCCCGAGCACGCATCACCATCCAACATACCATTTATCTTCTTTATTGTCTGTCTCTCCGCGTTAGAAACAAACTCCAGGAACATTTTGTTCACGTAATCACCACTACCTGGAAGTGTTTGGTGTGCAATAGGTTCTCAATAGATAGATGGATAAAATAAATACAATTTTTATGAGGCTATCATAACAGTGCATGCATCTTAAGTGCACAGCTTAATATATTTTTATATAGAACCCCCACCCAGTTCAAGCTGTGGAACACTTCCAGAAGACAGCCCTCACCCCCTGAGGGAACCACTAGACCGACTTCCAGCACTATCTATCAGTTTCACCTATCCCTGAACTTGATTTAGATGAATTACGTCATAGTGCGCACTCTGTGTTTGGTTTCTTTTGCTCAACACAATGTCTACAAGATTCACCCGTGATGCTGCACGTAACCGTGGTTTGTGCTTTTTTATTCTTCTATTGTACGATATCCTACCACTTATTCGTGCTCTCGTTGATAGGAGTTCGGAGGGTTTCCCATTGGAGGCTGTGGACATTCTTGGACGTGTCTTCTGGTGGACGGACGCCTAGGAGGCGCACTGCTGGGTCACAGGGCAGTGCGTGTTCACAGACTCAGTGAGAAATGGCCACGCTGCTTTCTAGGGTAGTGCACCAACCGACATTCCCCCAGCACTGAGCGAGGTCTGGCGTTGCCACCTCCTCCCCAGCAGTTGGCAATACCAGACTTTTTCGTTTCAGGCTTCTGGAGGATGACTGCAACTCATTTCCGTGCTGAGCAACGATGCTGGCTGCTCAAGAAGCGTTTGCTGAAGGAATCCTTAGGTGGGCTGTTGAGGGACACTCTTCACTTGGCAGGGATGGGTGGGCCCATACCCTTCACCCGAGGGTCTCAGTCTCTGGCTGCTATGCTGGTCGCAGAAGCTGCTTCCCATTCCACCCACTGGTCACACTAACACCCCAGGGTACAACTGAGGCATTCAGATAGGACCTGGCCCAAGGCTCAAGGCTCCCCAATGGATAGAGAAGAAAGAAAGAAAACCATCTGGTGCCCAGGCAGAGCTCTGAAGATGGGGTGCCCAGGGGTGCCTGCAGGCAGGGCAGAGCCATCTTTCCCGACTCCCAGGAGGCACCCAGGGGCCTGGCCCAGCAAGGAGCACTGTCTCCCCAGGGCCCCTGCCCTCTGACTCAGGAGGCTGCACCCTTACCACTCATCAGATGCTGCGTCAGGCCCTTCCTAACAGGCTGTGAGGTCCTGTGGCTGAAACTGGCTGGTCGGTCCCCCAGGTTGGCTAGGCCACCTTCCCCAGCCTCCCTCAGGGGGAACCTGTGACGGTTCCAGTAGGAGCTGAACAAAGACGATAGGGCCACTTGCAGTCCTGGCCCAGAAAAACCTCCACATGCTCTGAGCTTTCCCCCTCCTCAGTGACCTTGAAAGTCATGGGCTGAGGATAGTGGGGCCACAAGACGCAAGGAGTCTGGCGCCTGAGGTCCCTCTTGTAGAAGCGCCACCCACTGATCAGATGAGTCCCATTATAAACTTTTTGTGAGCAAGAAATAAACTTCCATTGTACTTGAGCCTACACAATTTGAGTTTTACATCAGCCCTTTGCCCTAAGGTACAACTAGTATATACAGCGTAGCATGTATAACTAACACGAGTAATAACTAGCCCTATTTACAGATGAAGAAACTGAGACACAGAGAAGCTACAGAACTTGTCTGAGGTCCACACGTGCAGAAGCTAGGATTTGAACCCGGGGCCTGGCTCCAGAGGTTCCACTTGTAAGCACTCTGCCGAGGCTGAACCAGTGGGCCAAGAGTGCAGAGGCTCCGGCCAGGGCCTCCAGGGCATGTCCCACCCCCACCTCTGCCTCGCGAGCCTCTGCCTAGCTGAAGGGGACTGCTCCCTGCACCCCAGCCTCCTGGCCTTCCCCAGTCGTCACCCAGCCTTGTCTCTCTGAACCCTCCCAGTTCAGGATGTCACCCTTTGGACAGACCCCAGCCACTGGCTCCCAGGGCCTCTCCCTCTCCCACTCCTCACCCCCACTCAGCACACCCTCAGCTCCGTGGAGCCAGGTGTCCCCCTTCCCTGGGACTGTGCCCAACTTGCTGCTAGAGAAAACCGCTCTCGCTCCTGGGCCGACAGGAAGCCCTCCCATTCACGGTCCCTGTCAGCCAGAGCTCCTCAGTGACCAGTGACAGAAACCCAACTGGCTTCTTGGGGAAAGGTGTTTATTGGCTCACATGACCAAGAAGTCCAAGGCGTACAGGCTTCTGGTAAGACCAGGTCCAGGTGTTCCGATGTCACCAGAAATCTGGGCCTCTGAGCCCCCCGGCTCTGCTGTGCTGGCTTTGTTCGCCATCAGGATCACGCCTCGGGGCGGGATGTGGCCTCCACTGCACCTGGCCTAGATCCTGCCAGCTTTGCTACCCCAGCGTGGCCGCCATCATCCTCACTTGGACTCCTGAGAGGTCCCCTGCTGCTGCCCAGGCCATGGGAAAGCCAGGGATCTTGTCAAAACCCCTCCCCAGAGATCACACCTGAAGTCCCAGGGCTCAGCCAGGTTGGCCCATTGGTCAGCTAGGGTGACCACAGCGGGCAGCGCTGTGACTGGCCAGGCTGATACCATGTTCTGGCCCATCAACCCCAGGGAGTGGGGTCAGCTGCCCATGCCACAGGTTGAGTAGAGGAAGTATGATCCTCTAAAAGAAAACAGGGGCACCATAGCCAGAGGGGGTGTGGAGGGGAGGCAGACAGGACCCATGTGCTCCAGGCTCCAGGGCCCACCCATGCCCGCCAGCCCGCCAGCCCGCCAGCCCGCCTCCTAGTTCACAGAGAAGCCAGACCCCATCAAAGGAAAACTGACTACCTGAATCTCCCCCAGGAAAACCCACTCACCACCCTCAGGGTGGGGCTGGCTTTGGGCCACCTCACCTCACTCCATCAGTTGCCCACTCCTGTCCCTCCTTCGTTACAAGCTTTGATTTCTGCCATCTTAAAAAAGAAACCCGAAGCCTTCCTTCATCCTCACTCTGAGCCACTCTGAGCCGCTGCTCCCTCGCCTCCACTTCGCGGCTCTGAGCGCACTTCCGCTCACCTCAGGGTTTCTCACCTCCGCCCTCCCCGCCTGTCAATAGCCACCACCTGAAGCAGTTCTGGCGAAGGCTGCCCTAAAGCCCACGAGGTGCCACACGTTCCACAGCTGAACTCTCTCGTCCCAGACACCCCGGAGGGCACCACCAGTTGCCCTGGGGCCCTGGGTCTGGCCGTTCTTCAGTCTCCTTTATGGTCCACGGCAGTCCCCTGCTCTCTCCCCTGGGCAAGGTCACCTACTCTCAAGGTTCACACATCTGTCTCTACACCCAAGAGCCCATTCCACACCTCTCCTGAAATTCACCACAGCCAGACCTGTGACCTTCTCAGTCCTGCCCTTCCGCCTGTGTCCCCCCAGCTGGAAAAGGGCCCCCACCTCTGCCCAAGGAGCTGCAGAAAGAAACCCGGGAGTCCTTGAGGATTCCCTCCCTCTCGGCCCCGCATCCCCTCAGTAAGCAGCACTCTTGAGCCTACTGCCAACAGACTCAAGTCTGGCTCCTGCTGTCCGTGTTGCCTGCCCAGCCCCACCGCCACTGCTCCCTGAAGACACGTCTGCCTTGTGGACACCACAGCTCCGGGGTCTGCTCAGAAATGGGTGTGGACTGACCAGCTGTGTCACTGCCCTCTCACAAGCTGGCTTTTGAGGCCCTCTACAATCCCGCCTACCTCTGCTTCCAATGTCCCTTCACACATGCCCTTCATGGCACCTGGCCCGAGTTCTAGTTTTCAAGACCTGTTCCTATTACCTGTCCCATCTGTCCCTTTGCATCAGCCCAACATGGGCAGAATGGTCTTCATCAGAAAGACAAGAGGAGGCTGCTCAGAGAAGGCTAGGAACCTGCCCACGGTCACAGAGCACAATGACACAGGTTGTCTCCCAGCATAACCCGGACCTGCTGGCTCAGGCCCTCTGCCCACCTTCCTTCTATCAGCACCCCTGGTCCTGCCCTGGCAGAACTGTGGCCTCCAGCCCCTCCCTTCACTCAGTGGCTGCTTGGCCCACCACCACTCCTGGCCCCAGCTCAGTGTGGGGAAGGCAGGTAGATAGATGGCAAGGTGGCCACAAAGCCCTGGACAGAGGCTGGGACAGACACTGGCATTCCCTTTTATTATTATTTTTTTAATAAATTTAAGAACAATTCTATTTTCTCTCCTCCCCCCAGAGCAACTAAAACCAACTAAAAGGGGGTGTGGCCTGGGGGGCAGAGGGCGCTAGGAGTCATAATCTTCTTCATCCTCTGCATCAGGTGCTGAGGGGCCCGGGGGCGCTGGGGGCAGAGGCAGAGTTGAGGCAAAGGGCATGAAGGGTGTCGGGGGGCTGCAGGGCAGAAGGCAGGAGAGGAAGGTCAGGCCACTGCCCATTCCTGACCAGTGAGCCACCCCCCGCACCCCCATAGGCAGCATGGAGCCCACAGTCCTCGGTACCAACAGGGAGCCAAGCCCAGAGAATGGAAGGGCCCAGAGCAGGTCACACAGCCCCTGCCCAGTCCGCATCCATTGCCCCACCCAAGGGTAGAAGGGACCTTCTGAGGACACAGTCTTCTGTCTTTAAGCCCTCCCCAGTTTCTCCCCTCCCATGCCCCAAATCCGCCACAACCACCAGAACCCAGAGGCCATGGAGGCCGGGAGGGACAAGTCAGCCTTGGGGAGTCTGCTGGCCCTTTCCTGGCACCACCGAGCTGCTTACCTCTGAAAGTGGGCAGGGGGGTGGCTGGCCTGGGGTGCAGCCTGCGCTGTTTCCTCTTCCCCGTCGGTGTCTGTGTCCTCAGACTCATCCTAGGAGCAAGGTAGGGGTCAGAGGTGACAAGAAAGGCACCGGCCCATCAGTGAAAAGCCTAGACCTCTGGGAATAGCAGAGGCAGGACGAGGACCTCCATCACCCCAATTTACAAACAACGAAAGCAAGGTACAAAGACATCACAGGTGAGGATGGGACCAAGGCTGCAGCCAGCTTGGCCTGACACAAGCCTGCCCTCTGCACCCCATGGGACAGAACCGAGGGCTAGGGGCCTCACTAACCTCCTGCTCCGAGTCTGTCCCCGACAGCTTCTTGTCCTTGCCTTTGCTTCCCATCCCACCGTTCTTCCGACCACCGCTGCCCGACTTCCGGCCCCTTCGGGAAGGTACAGTCCATCTGTCCAGAGGTCACTCCCCTCCTTCGCCACCCCCCAGCCACCCCCAACCCCAGTGGCCTTGGCCTTCTCCACCTGGACACTGGCCCTGGTGCCCCACCTGCGGGCACCCTTGTCCCCATCCACGTGGTTGTCTTCCCCATCCCCCTGCATGTCAGGGACGGAAGCCACCAAATCCTTCAAGAAGTCAAACTGCTGCTCCAGCTCAATGCACTGCTTCCTGGAAGAGATGGGGAGGGGACGGCACTCAGGTGGGGCCCAGATGTCTGGGCCCTCAGCAAGGGACAGTAAGAGGCTCTGGATGTCAGGAGAATGGAGCCTGGAAAACCTCCACACCACCTCCGGCACCCAACCTCCTCGCTTCGCTGGAACACCCACCCCCTCCTCCCCGAGTTCAAACCCACCAGTTTCTGAGGCCTTGCTGGTCTCCCAGCAGCCTCCTGGCCCCCTCACTATCAGGACACTGCCTCCTCTAAGTGTGTGAACTTCTGGGGCGGGGCCTCACCCAGCCCTCCCAGCTCGGCAAACACTCACAGGTGGGATGTGGTCATGGTCTTAGCATTTCGGGACTGGGTCACCTGGCAGGCCTTTTTCAATAGCGACTCCAGGAATAGCTCGAGCGCCCGGGCTGAGAGGTGTCAAGGTGAACGCAGGTAGGGGGTCCCCAGCCCACACAAGCGACCCCAGGCTGCCTCCCTCCTCCACGGCCCTCAACCTGACCAGCCCCCGACAGGATACAGATGATGACAGGCACAGCCGCCGCCACCTTCCCAATCTCTTCGTCCGTCTGCATGATCTTCTTGATCCGCGCCTGGGAATGGGACAGAGAGCTCGGACCCCGTGGCCTCCATCCCAGAAAGGGGCGCTGGGGGAGAACAAGGCGGGTATCCCGGGAGGAAGGGGGCGGGGGGCACTGACGCCGGGAGGGCACGGAAGGGGGCGGGGCGTCCGGGCCCCCGAACACCGCGAAGCGCCCGCCCCCCCAGTGGGGCCTGGGCCCCAGCCTCCCGTAGGGCCGGGCGGCTCCTCCCGGGCCCGGCCACGTGCTCACCGGCGGGAACCGGGCGTTGTACTTCTTCTTCTTGCTCGGCATCTCGGGGACTCTCGCCGCGCCGGGCCCAGCGCCGCCGCCCGCAGCCTCCCGGCCCCCGGGCCTGCTCGCCGCCCGCCCGCCGCGGTTCCCCCGGGTCCTGGCGCCGCCCGCTCCGCCCCCGCCGCTCCCCACGGGGTCCTAGCGCCGCCAGTCAGGACGCCGCCCGCACGGCCCGAGTGCCCTCCCCTTAGAGTCTCCCGGGCTGTGCGCGTAGGCCCGGGACAGGACCGCCACTCCCGCCCGCCCCCAAGGCCCGAGAAGCGGACGTTAGCCCCGCCCCCGCAGGCCCGCCCCTCCCCGAGTTCCCCAAAGGCCCCGCCCCGGGGTCAGCCCCGCCCGGCCCCGCCCCTTCCCTCGCCGGCCCCGCCCCGCGGCGCGGCCGATCCGGCCCGGGGGCCCCGCCCCACGCTGCGCTTGTCTATAAAGTTGTTGTTGAGGCGGCGAAGCGCTAAGATGGCGGCGGCGGCGGCAGCCGTGGCGGGGGCGGGGCGCGGCGGCGGCGGCGCGGAGCCCCGGCAGGAGCGGAGCCGGGCCCGGGGCTGGGCTGGCGCCGAGCGCAGCGAAGGCCGGAGGTGACGGCTGGGCGGCGGGAGCGGGCAGGGCCGGGCGGGGGCGCAGCTCGGGCCGTGGGCGCTAATGGCGGCGGGCGCGGCGGGCCGGAGGCTGGCCCTCCCGCAGGCTCCCACGAGCCCGGGTTCGAGTCCGGGCACCGCCCCACTGGCCCCGGACCCGTCACAGCCCTCTCTGGGCCTCAGTGTCCTGGGTTTTCAGTGGGCCCGATGACGCCCGCCCGGGAGGCCGGGCCCTGCAGGGCCTGCCCCAGTGCTGCGCGACCGTGCGCCTCGTTGCCTCCCTCCATTAAATGCCGACGCTCGCGGACCCAGTGACTGGCAGGGCCGGGAGGTGTGGCTGGGCCGGCGGCTCCCGCACCTGAATGCACGTTACGGCCCTGTCACTCACTACAGGTGTGACCTTGGGTAAGTCCCATCTCTCCGAGCTTCAGTTTCCTGTCTGTAAGTCAGGGAGAGTAGGAATAACGTTAGCAACGACCCTTACGTAGCACCTGTTCCACCTCAGGCATTTAATTCTCAGCAGCGCTACGAGGCAGGAACAGCTGTTAGCCATTTTAAAGATGAAGCAACAGAGGAATGGCAACATTCCGTCTTGCCCACTGCCACACAGATTAGTTTAGTGCCCGGCACCCGCTAGGGCCCAGCAAGCTGTGGATGTGCCTTGGACCTGCCCTAATTCGGTTCCCTCATAGCAGGATGGAGCCAGGTGAGGAGCTGGAGGAGGAGGACTCTCCAGGCGGCCGCGAGGATGGCTTCACTGCTGAGCACCTGGCCGCGGAGGCCATGGCAGCTGACATGGACCCCTGGTTGGTGTTTGATGCCCGCACTACACCTGCCTCGGAGCTGGATGCCTGGTTGGCCAAGTACCCGCCATCCCAAGTTACCCGCTATGGCGACCCCGGCTCGCCCAACTCGGAGCCCGTGGGCTGGATTGCAGCATATGGGCAGGGCTATATCCCCAACTCGGGCGACGTGCAGGGCCTGCAGGCAGCTTGGGAAGCTCTGCAGACCAGCGGGCGGCCTGTCACACCGGGTACCCTGCGCCAGCTGGCCATCACCCACCATGTGCTCTCGGGCAAGTGGCTGATGCACCTGGCACCTGGCTTCAAGCTGGACCACGCCTGGGCTGGCATTGCTCGGGCCGTGGTTGAGGGCCGGCTGCAGGTGGCCAAGGTGAGCCCACGGGCCAGGGAGGGTGGGCGCCAGGTCATCTGTGTTTACACAGATGACTTCACGGACCGCTTGGGTGTACTGGAGGCCGATGCAGCCATCCGTGCAGCGGGCATTAAGTGCCTGCTCACCTACAAGCCTGACGTCTACACCTACCTGGGCATCTACCGGGCCAACCGCTGGCACCTCTGCCCCACACTCTATGAGAGCCGTTTCCAGCTGGGGGGCAGTGCCCGCGGCTCCCGTGTGCTGGACCGTGCCAACAATGTGGAACTGACTTAGTGGGGCCAAGTGAGGGAGACCACTCTCTGCCCTTCCTGCCAGGGATGGATCCTCCCGTCTTCCTTGTCCCAAGGAGGCCAAGTCCCCCAGCTCTGGGGACCAGGTCACTCGGGAACTGCCTGCATCTTCAATCCCCTTGAACTTCTGCCCTCTGTTCAGGGCTGACTCAAGTCCCCACCGGCTGGAGGCGCTGGCTCCCTGAGGGCCGGACCCTCAGCCTCTCTCTTCGCTGCTGCTCCCCTTTGCCATCCAGGACCACAGGCTGGGTGCAGACAGCCAGGAGGAGAGCCTCCCTTGGCCGCCCTCATCCCTGGCTGTACCTCCCCCCTCCTGCATCCTCCCCTTCTCTTCCTCCCTCACAAGAGAGAAAACTTAGTGCTTCCGGTCCCTCTGCTTGGAGCCTTCGCAGTCTGGGGGCAGAGGCTCTGCAGGCCTGAGCATGCCATTTTCCTGAGGGCGTGATTGTGCTCACTCAGCCCCTGGCAAAGAGAGAGGATGCCAGGGCCATGGACATGGGGCCTGTCCCTCCCTGCCCCCTCACGGCCTGAACCACCGTCCTCCCTTCCTTCTCTCCCTTGTCATGTGCCTGTTCCTGGCATTTCAATAAAACCCAGCTTGGGTCTGTGTCTTGAGTGTTTTTTAAACTACTGTCTTGATGGTCACTTGCTTTGGTTGCTGGAGAGAGGCAGGGCCAGGAGAGATGGCCCCTCTGCTCTGACTGGGCCCCCGCTAACTGCCCTCAGTGATAAGATACTCCTCCCTGCCAAGACTGGGAACTTAGCTGAGAGCCTCTGCGAAGCCAGCCCTGTTTCCCTCCCTCTCAAGAATCAGAATCCGAATCCGTTTCTCAGTGATTTCCCATAAATCCAGGAGGTTGGCCCAGCAACATCCGAGGGGTCACTACTCACCCACTGGGTGTGTCGGTGCCCATTAGAGAAAAATACCTGCTTGGTCCTGGCGATTCTATGCCAGGGCACGTGGTCTGGGTGTGCAGAGGATGGGCTGGATCTCAGCAACCTAGGCTGGACATCCTTGTGCAGTGAACAACCTGCACAACCATAAGTGGCCCTGGAAGCCCTCCTGTTTTTACTCACCTTTCCTACCACCCTGACCATCACAGGGGACACAGGACAGTTTGCAAAGCACTTACATATGCACTATTTAATCACAACCTGTTTAGAAGGAGATGTTGGTCCCATTCTGTGGTCCAGGAGATTGAGGCCAAGAGGGGAAGGGAATTCTCTCAGGGTCGTGCAGTGAGTCAGGCAGAGCTGGGACTTGCCCCCGGTCCCTGCCTTCTCAGGCAGAGTGTGGTCCTTGGCCTCACCCACAGGGAGCTCTTTACAACCCACCAGGCACGTTCCCTCACGTGATCTCACTGGGCCACCCTGCTCTGCTGAGGCTACTGCAGCCTCAGAGCCTGGCTCGGCACCCCCTGACCCCGCGGCTGGCCCTGGCCTTGATTGGAGGCCAGGGTGTCTGGCAGGGAGCCCCTTGGGATGCTGCTCTCGTGCCGCGCTGGAGCTGACTCATCCTCCAGCAGCCTCACCAAATTGGAATTTGGAGCAGGGGAGCGGAGATGCCAATGGGCTGACTGGGTGGAAGTGGGTGAGTCATGAGATGCTGCCTCAGCCCCCTCCCCAGCTTCCTCCCCACCCCAAGCTTCCCCAGGACTGAGTCCCCCTAGGCCCAGCCCTGGGAAGTCCCCAGAGATGGGTGGTCTCCTCCTGGAGCCTGGTGCCCTGCCTCCCTCACCTCTGCTCTGCGCTTGACCATAGTGGACCAAGGCTTGGGGGGGCCATGGCCAGGCCCTCATGGGTCCCCCAAAGATGTCCAAGTGCTATCAACACTACCTGGTGCTTCCATAGCTAAACATTTCACACGCTCATCCCTTCTCCAGCCTCAGGGCCCTGTTTTAGCCCGTTCACTGTCTCTCTCCCAGACCATTGCCCTTGCCTGCCCTGCGCCGTTCCGTTCCCACTTCCTCCCCCTACCCTCGTCCCCCCACAGTCAGCTCTCCTGTGGAGCTGCCTGTGCCCCTCTCCTACTCAAAGCCTTCTGTGGCTCCCCACAGCCTGCCATAGAGTCCACACTCCTGAGCTGGCCACCACCCAGCCCACCCCCCTAACTGCCCCGGCTTCCCGCAGGCGCCCCTTTCTGCCCATGATCGCCCCAAGGGAGGCAACTGGCACTTCCTTCACCCCCTGGCACGCAGCCCTGGGCCTCAGGCCATTCCTTCTGCCTGAACACCTGCTGTGCAGCAAGGATGGGAGATTACTTATGTGAATGTTTGATCCATGTCTGTCTCCCGCTGGCCCCTGAGCCACATGCCCATGTGGGCTCAGTGAAGACAGGAACAATGTCTGGATCTCAGCCCTGTCGCCAGAGCCCGGCACAGTGCTTGGCTGGAGCCACTTCTCCGTACGCTATTAAATGAATGAACGAATGAATGAATGCTCAAATCCAGGCCCTGCCAGTCCTTCGGGCCCCATCTCCTCCACTCCCTGCTTCACACTTCTTGTTCCAGAATCAGGACCTGCCTGTGGTTTTCTTGCACGCATGCTGGCCTTTGTCACTTTCGTGCCTTTGCTCATGCTGTTGCCTCTGCTTGGTGTGCCTGACCCTCACCCAGCTGACTCCACGTCTCAGACGCACCGGCTCAGGTGTCATCCTCTCAGAGGTTCCTCCCCATCCATCCTCCCCCTAGGCTCCCGTAACACCCACCCACCTATGGCTCTCATCTGTGTATCTGGGGCCCCTCGAGGACAGGGCTGTGCTTTATCCTCCAGGTGTCCTCAGCTTCCAGCAAAGGACCTGGCCTAGCATGAGTGATAAATCAATGTTATTGAAGAAACGAGTGACTGAATGAAAGTCACTCTGTCCCTGGGCCTCACTCTCCTCCTTCTGTTCATGACCAGAGCCAGGCACTGCGCTAGGTGCTCACCTACATTATCTCAGCTAAGCCTCACCTGACTCTGTTATTGCCACTTGCAGAAGACAAAACTGAGGCCTAAAGAAGCTTAGTAATTGGTTTAAGAGTACAAAGCTATAAGTGGCAGAGCCAAAATTTAAATCCAGGTTCTCTGACTCCAGAGTACCTGATGCCTTATTGAGCTCACCCTGCATGAAGGTGTTGTTGGGGTGGGGAGCTGCAAAGATAGGTGAGACCCAGCAAGGACTTAGGATCTGATCTGTAAAGCACACAGGTTGGGTCCAACTGCCTACGAGAGAGGCTGGGCCAAGACTAAGATTCCCATTTTACTGATGGAGAAACTGAGGCTCAGAGAGTACAGTGACT